ATATATATATATATATAAAGTTTGTTCTTTCAAAGTGTGCTCACTATCACGAGCGTCAGTGTTACACCGTCAGATGAAGGTGAACCTCAGATTTCATTAAATGTGAAGTCAAAAAAGGATTCATATCAAAGATGGATAACAGAGGCTGGCTTTGATTTTTAATAAAGGACAAATATCAAATATCAGTGTGAGACTTTACAAACCAATATATTTGTCTAGAATCTGTCTCTCTCTTTTAATCTTTCTTTCTTTCTTTCCTCCCACACGAACACTCGTCTCCTATGAGACAGCGGACTCTGGGAAACAAGACAAACAGAGACGGATGATTGTGGCCTCGTTGTGTTTTATAAAATAAAATAAATTGTGTTCATTGTTGGTATGCGTTATGTGTCCAGCATAAGACATGCACGATCAACTGCAACCCAAAACATGGAAACATTTTGCTCCAGATGTGGATGTTCGGCTGCCGAGGAGCTTAAGATTTTCAAAATATTTTAAAAGTAAAACATGATATACTTTACATATTTTGATTTCATTTTTTTGCTTTTAAACAAAGCAGATTGTTTGATACGTTTTCTTATTTTAGTTGTATTTGATAGTAGAACACATAGCTGTAGTTCATCACGTGACCCAGACACACTGATGATGAAGCAGCGCCATCTGCTGTTCAAACCGAAAACCAACTTAAACTATTTAATGCTGAGCTAAAAAAAAAAAAAAAAAGAATAGAAATATCGATGACATATCCAGATGCATATCAATAAAAGACATTATTAAAATAATAATTAGTTAAATATATTACCTTATCAAAAACTAGCATGTTTTATGTGTCTTGCTATAAAAAGAAACATTTTTTACAAACAGTCGGTCACTTTTTAAAGTGCAACCCGGCGTATCACTAGTTAGGATTTTGAGTTTTTGCAAATCATAAATATTGAGGCTAAGTCAACATCACTGGAAACTACAGAATCCACAATGAGTTCAATCAGAAGCTCAGTTTCAGTTTAACAAAAGAACCATTCTAACCTTCATGAAGGTATTATTTATTACAGGACTGTTTTATTAAACCGAGTTAATTTATGTTCGATGAATGAATTCTACAACTGATTAAACCGACTCAGCAGCACAACTATCTAAACGTGTCAGATCCTTAACATGAAGTGAGTCTTCATCATCTGAACTCATCGTCTCTCTTCTGGCAGCTCACAGACCATCAAAAGTACTTCATGTTATTATATGAACACATTACCAGCTCCCTCCCGCTGTCATGTAAAATATATAATCAGATTATAATACAGTTTAAACATAAGGACAGAGGATTATTTGCAATAACCCTTCTTATTTATCAGTGTGGAATAATCTTTTTTTAAGACTTAACTATTTACGGAGTGAGATTTCGCTCTTCTTTTTGCGCCACCTTGTGTCAGGTGCGCAAAAAGAAGAGCAGTGACGGAGCAGAATGAATTCACTTTCTGTTTTGCTGAACTGAGACTGAATATCGAGTCAGCAGGTCGATCCTCTGTCTTCAAGCGGATCTTTATTTCTAGGATTTATTTTCCGATGGGTGACAAACAGGCAACACGCATCTGCGGCACGTGGTGAGAGTTTAAATTACATTTGAAAGTCGTTTAAAGTTTCAGCTGTTCTGACAAAAATCTATCAGAGATCATGTCCGTGGGGCGTGACCCAATGTGGATCAATTACACGTTGCTTGCTGTTAAAGTTCAGCCTCATTCAGCTGTATATTGAATATTAACAATGATATGAGGTTGAGAGATAAAGTGGGATACTTTCACTTTCACTTTCTGTTTAGCTTTTGGGGTTTTGAAAACAGGGTTCAGAGAGGCCATGCGAACAAAACAGTTCACTTTTATGTTTTCAAGAAGAAAAGAAAGAAAGATGTTTTCTACATTTACCAGAGCGTAAATGGTGATAGTTTTAAAAGGGTGAGTCTCATTTTCTAGAGCCAACTGATTCTGCATTAACACCACCAGTTAAATCAGTAACTCAGCAGTGATTGTTCCCCACCAATGCACAATCTAACAACTTCCTGTCTACTGTGATCAGGCAGCAACCTGCGGTTCTGCTGCGTGAAGTCAAAGCTTCATGTGTTAAAGCTGCATCCTCTCTGTAGCATCCGGCTGAATAATGGTCTGTAGTCTTGAACTGATGGTCCATAAGTCTTTATTGAACACACCGTAAGAACAGGTCTCTACCAGAGACGTATACGACGTCTCTACGTCACTCCTCCTCAGTCCAAATATGGTCACTTCCTGTTCATCAATATGTTATACAATATAAAATACATAATACTTCTCAGTTAAAAACAAGATACAATTTTGATGAAGTGTTCTCAGTCGTGAAACAGAAAGTGTGCCAAAGAGTTGTTTATGTTTTCTGATATCTGTGGACAGTCTTAGACTAAAGGAATAACATGTATGAATTTTTTTTAAAACTCCGTAGTTCCCCTTAAAGCGTTGCGTCTGGTAAAGACAGACGATCACTTTCTCCCTCTCGTCTCTTTAAGCCACAAAGACGTCGCCGAGGAAAACTTCGCTCTGCATGAAACGCACTGCAGACGCTTCCTGTGTCTCTGCCCCGACTGCGATGAACCAGTTCCCAAAGAGCAACTGGACCAACACAGAGAGGAGCAGCACACCGAGGTACACGTACACACACACACACACACACACACACACACACACGGTGGTGTATTCTCTGCAGGTTTAAACTGTTTGTTTGCAGGTGAGATGCTCCAAGTGTCACCTGAAGATGGAACGTCGTCACCTCCTGGATCACGAGGTGAGTAAAGTGTTTCTGTTGGTTTTCCTGGACATAAAGGTATGAGGGAAGTATATATATATATATATATATATATATATATATATATATATATATA